TCCAGTTGAGGTTGGTTGTTTATTTCTTTTCAAAACCTATTCTTCTAACATGAAATGCCATAACACGAACATCATTTTCATGATCATGTGTTCTTTTTTCATGAAAGAAAACTTATCTCAAGTAGCTAGGCAAAAATGTTTATCGTTATTACTTACTTTTATCAAGCTTCTCCCGTTTGATCTACAATATCTTTTATCCTGATTCTGCTTCATCTGTTTGTACCTATTTTGCAAAAATGTTAGTTGACACTGTTATTGTTTTCAGGAAACATTGGATGATGCTCAGCCAAATGGAAGACCCAAAGGAATATGGCCTGATTGTTAAGTCAGATTCCATTGAGAAAGTCACGGAAATGACCTCACATAAAAAGACCAACGAACTTCAGTTCTATTTGGTCAAGAGTTGTCCTTCCCCGGAGGAAGTAAAAAAAGAAGAGGCTCACAAGTTGTATCAACAGATGAGTGTTTCTATGTACCATATCCTTCAAGAAATTGATCTACGGAAGGTAAATGTTGATTAAAATTTTAATGTTCATTAGAAATGATGGGTATTGCTTTAAAGTGACGACAGTAGAAATATCGTGCTCTTCTTTGGATAAGTTCGGAAAAACAACTCACACGTCTCTCCTTACAGAAAGATGAACATCAAATGAACTACGAATTAATGTGGATTTACATGGAGTTAGAGTGGAAATCAAGTTCACTCATGTGCCTTGAACGAGCTACAGTAGATGATGTGAAGCCTGATTTACCAATGAGACCAATACCAAGAACAGCTGGTTTCTTGCATTTGACTGAAAACGATCCTCAATCGCCTGTAAGAGTTGATTACATAGACTATTTTTCCTCCCGACTTTCCAAAAATTCTTGAGCAAAATGAAAGGGAATTTTTTTAGAGAAGTTTTCTGTTTCTGTGGATTCGTGGCTATTTTTTTTGTAGGTTCATATCGGTACTGATAGGAAACGATGCCATAAACGGGTAAAGAAAGAGAGGATAGACATGGAATATCTGAAACAGGTTCAAGAAGAACTTCTTTCTTCAATGAAATCGGGTAACAGGCCAACCCATGGTACTCAAGAGCTTAACGATGTGGTATATACTGATAAATTATAATTTATAAACATAAATTGCTGATCTTCCTTAGGTTGTTATATTGATTTTGACATATAGTTTCTTTCTACTTCCTTTTGGAAGATGGAGAGCCTTGTACACAGGATCCAACATGGAAACAATAACCGGGGAGAAGAAAAAAAATTCTTTCACGAAATAAGAAATCTCAAAGAAACAATAGAAACATACACTGCACCAACAGAACCTGACCCTCGTAATAATTGGAGAAGATATGACGTTGGAGGATCGAGAAGACGACTCTATGAAGAACAAATGAGGCAGCATCGTATTAAAGTTTAGTTTTAATTCCTCAACTGAATTAGAACTTTTTTTGTTCAATTTTTCATTATATTACTACTCACTTCATCTATATGTTTTATACAATTAGATTTACTTAAACCAAATTGACGAAATAAAGAGGGATCAAAAGGAACGTACCACTAAAGCGACCCGACTCAAGGCAGAGTTGGAACTTGTGAGAAAGAGCATCAGAAGTATGGATAGGGAACTTGAAAAGCTTAATTCAAAGAGAATTAAAGCCTATAAATGTGCTTATAAGTATGGTGAGAAGGAGGAGGTATTATCAGCAGCTCCTTTTCATTTTTTTATGTTTTTTATGCAATAAATAGATATCATTGATAGAGAGGCGATACCGAATTACTTATGTTTCTATAATTCATAAGTCAAGTTATGGTTACTATCCACCGCGTGCTCATGACATATGTTAAAGAACATGCACAAAAAGAGAATCACGGAGACAGGTTTGTGAAGATTGGAACATCATTCATTCCCCTCTTTATGTTACATAATAATCGTAACAACTTCACTGATACGGCAAGAATTAAAAGTGGACATCTTAATTCTTAAGACAATTCTTTCGTCTTTTTGTTAATTTAAAACTCGTGAATGGTAGGTTGAAGAATTCTTGAAGCAATATTGGAGCAATAGCAAAGTGTAGTGGGTGATATAATGTGTGCAAGTTTAATCCCGAACACTTGTAAAGCAACTATCTTAAGATGTATTAGAGCCTGATTATTATTTATTTCATCATTACACAATGTTACGTTTGCTTTTATAAGTACCCAATAAAAGAGTGTCGAATAAAATTTCATTTTTTCGTCAAAAATGTTTTGGATTGGCTGCCCAATTACTTATGATTCTAATGATAGAATTAGTAGGATCAAGGGAAAATGACTTATTAAGGTAACTAACTATTTTGTATGTTCACATATAGCAATATTTGGTATTTGTACTTATTTACCCAACAAACTTGTTTCATATGTTCACAAATACCCATTATTACCGGCAAACACAGGTTTTTACCGGTTACATCGATTGAGGTCAATTAAAGCGAATAACGTGGATTCATACCTCGCTATTACACCCCTTTCTCACTTAATTGGGGTTCGTCTGCTCCAAAAACACTTCGATTAACAGTTTGGGAGAAATCTGTGACAATTGAAAATTGTTGGACCAAGCAATGCCTGAATTATAACTATGTATAAGTGGATTCACAACATGACCTTGTTATAATAAAAGTTCAAAACCAAGAGGGCATAGTTTGGATAAGTGTATATATAGGAATATATATACTTTGAAGATCATATTCGTAATAAACCTTTAAAATTAAACAAGTGATAGCATGGCAAGACAAGTCAAATGGTGAGAACATAAATCATGAAACTAAAACATTATTTTATTGTTTAAGCCTAGTACCCCACAAAGAATGGGATTTCGGTCCACCAAAGGTCGAAATCACCCTCCCGTGAAGCATCAAGACCGAAATATCCTTAAATCAAAACCACTAGGACCGAAAACACCTTGAGTGGGTGATACCAAAACCGAAAACACTCCCATGGACCATAATAAGACCGAAAACCCATTTGTTGGAGGGGTAGGACCAAAATCACCAAGGGAACAAGGTGATTTCAGTCATGCATGGCCGAACATACCCCTTTGACACTTCCAAAGATGATTTCGATGGGATAAAAAGATAAAGGAGTTGACTTATCCCATAAGAATTAATATCCAACATATAACGAAGCTAATACCCAACAGATTACCAAGTAAACATCCTATCATTCTACCACCTTATCTTAAGGACGAATTCATTCCACAAACCTCACCATTCTTCCATTCTACTTCCTGTTAATTTATGTTGTCTCTCAAGAATCAAATCCAAGCTTCAAGGGGGTTTAAATTATGAAGCTATTCCTAGAGTTTTGGTAAGTTTATCTCACTAATCTAGTGTTTTTCACACAAATACATTAGTTTCATTATGTTTACACATATTGTTATGTATTAAAAACATTTAGGATAATAATATCTACTAGGAATTTCATCAAACCATTCAAGTGTTTAGGCTTGGAAATCTTCACACCATCTTCTCAAACAACCCACAAACCCACTCAAG